GGGGGGGGGGGGGGGGGGGGGTACACGAAGTGTTTGTTTATACGTTACGTATACGCTTGGACAAAAATGCTCACATTAATTATTTTTTTAAACATTCTTTTTCCACCCGAATGACCATATTCTTATCTTGTTCCCCTGAGGCATTCAACGTTGATTCTGTTAAGAGTGCATATTTCTGTTTCTAAGAATTCACATTAACTATACATACTCTCGCCCGTTAACAGACTAAAAAGCAGCTTTAAAAGTCACCCCCCCTACCCCCGAACTTCAATCCCTCATAATCTCCCCTCTTTCTCCCCCTCCCCTCCCCTCCTTTTTATCTCCCTTCGCCTCCCCCTTCCTGCTTCTTGTCCTATCACTTCCCTGAAAAAAAAAATCTCGCTTGCTTTTAATTAGTGCATTTCGTTTTAATCGAACTGGCATTTGTTTTCTTTTTAAAGATGCCACCAGAATTTCGAACACTATTATACGACTTCTAAAATAAAAAGTCGAACGTCTGTGCAGCCCTACCTTTAGAAAATTTAACGTTTGACGAACTGAGAAAGAGGGACAAGGAAGGAAAGGTTTTAAGATGACAATAACAATAACAATAACAATATTAAATATAATAATAATAATGATTTAAATAATAATTTTAAAAAAACAACATTAAGATCATCAACATGACAATGCTGATAATGCTGATAATAATAATAGCAATAATAACAAAATGACAATAGTAATAACAATAATGATAATGATGATAGTAATTATTGTTAGATTATAATTGTTTATCGTGCGTCAGTGTTTGGCGATGCAGAGTAAGATATTAAAGTTTTTTTCAATGAAATCGAAAAAAATAAGTTTACGTAGTAAGAAAACATACAAAATTTGTGGCTTCTGCTATTGCCAGTAAGACCAAATCAGTTAGAGAATTCTTTGTAGCTCTAGGTTCAAGAATTGTTCAATACGGACGCAATGTCCTTTTTTTATAGTAGAGGGTTTTACGGCGCTCGCAACTGCATAAGGTCATATGAGCGCCAAGGGGTGAGTGTCAACAGAGAAGTCTTTACAGGAAACCAGACTTAGACTGCTCACCTCTCTTCCTTCAACAGCACAAAGTCTGCTTCGACTATCAAGGCACCCCGGGTATAGCAGGTCACAAGAGAGTGACAAACATACAAAAGAAGTAGAGGAAAATGACAATAGTAAGGATGAGGAAAGAAAAAGCAGCAGTTCCTTGTTGTAGATCAGGCACTGTTATGAGTTATGAATTTACAATTCGACTATGCTTTGGGAATGGCCTAAAGACACTTCAGTCAGTGGCACTGCCCCGGGGGGTAGCGCAATGTCCTTTTCGACAGAGGACATTAGATAATTACATCTTATTTAAGACTCAAGGCCAATTAATCTTTCGAGATGTTACCTTAGTTAGTATCATGCTGAACTGAATAGCAGATGGCCCTGTTTCGAATCCCCATCGAGACGTTCTAAGCAAGGGTTTAAAAAATAAATAATAATAAATTACTTTTATTTGTCCCAGAAGAGCACTTTGTTTTACAATGGCAAACATACATACATACATACATAAACACATAATTATAAAAACGCACATACATAAACACATACATGAATAAATATACATAAATGTACACTATTCAACAAATACAGAACAGTTTACAACCATGCCACTGTCAGTCGCCACTGTGCAGAGCCCTGTATTTTGAGCTGGGGTTGTCGTGTCTTGCTCAAGGACGCACCCCAGTGACCACTCATCTCACCTGATCCCCGTGTCACTGACACTTACTTGACATTACTTGAGTCTAAACTCACTATTCACTTAGCCACTTGGTTCTTCTGGGAAGTTCCTTGGGCTCTCTGGCTATTTAGTTAGGCCCTATCGGAGATGGACGATAAAGTCGGAGGCCCCGCCTCTTAAATCACCTTGCAGGGTTGAAAGGGGTGTAAAATCTATACAATATTCAAGCCTTCCCTCAAATCATCATCAAGTCCCAGGTCTATGACAGAAATCGGCAATCATGGTTCGCAATTCATTCCTGAACTCCAATGCCCCCCCCCAAAAAAAAACAACAACAACAA